CCGTGTTCTCCGCCCCCCACCAGCCGTCGGCGGAGAAGGTGGCCGAGCGCAAGTGCGGCGACGTCCGCGAGCAGTACGGCATCCAGCGGGTGGAGGCCATGTTCCACACCCTGGACCGCATCAACGCCGACCAACAGCTGCTTCCCAACATCAGCTTGGGCTGCGAGATCCGCGACTCGTGCTGGCACTCTTCCGTGGCTCTGGAGCAAAGCATCGAGTTCATCCGTGACTCGCTCATCTCCATCCGGGACGACAAGGATGGCTCCAAGTGGTGCGTGGACAGCCAGTCCCACTCCAGCCAGCCGCCGCCCACCAAGAAGCCCATCGCCGGCGTGATCGGGCCGGGCTCCAGCTCGGTGGCCATCCAGGTGCAGAACCTGCTGCAGCTCTTCAACATCCCGCAGATCGCCTACTCGGCGACCAGCATCGACCTCAGCGACAAGACGCTGTTCAAGTACTTCCTGCGGGTGGTGCCGTCCGACACCCTCCAGGCTCGGGCCATGCTGGATATCGTGCAGCGCTACAACTGGACCTACGTGTCTGCCGTGCACACGGAAGGTAAGATCGTCCATCCGGATTCTCTGGGACCGGCGTTACAAATGATACATTTCAAATCCAGACTTCAACTTTTCACATTTGGAAGTAATCCGCATTGGAGTCTCTGTCTCTGGAAGGATTCTTGGAGGATCCTCCACGGGCCTTTGGTTCAGGTCTTGAAGTGGTTCACATCTTCAAAAATAAGTTTCTTGGTGTTCTTGATGGCCAGGAAGTGCCGGATGTTCAGTACGTTGGGCTACATTCACAAACGTAACTCAGCCTAAACATGAACTTTTAGGTTCCTTCATTTGTTCTTACTCCGCAAACAAATTTAGAACCTCCTCAGACCACGATTCCACACAAATACCCTAATAATGGCAATTATCATCTCATAAAATGACAACTTTGTACCCTTTACTCCTATTTTTTTTCCAGTGTGGCCCTAAATCCTACCACGCAGTAATCCTTAGCACGTCATAGCACGCTGAGCTGGCTCGCTCTCCTTTGGCAAACTGCTCATTTGCTCAGCCTAACAGCCCACAACGTAATTGCTGTCAGAGGGGGTGAATTGTGTCCACACACCGTCAGAGATACACACGCTCGGGGCTTGAACGACTTCCGATTTTTTTTTTTTCTTTTGTAGTTAACAGTCCGCTCAGTGGATGTTAATTGAGTCGATCACTCGATGACATCACGTGTGTTTGTTGTCAACTTGATGTGGCCCCAACTGTTTGCCTTCAATAACACATTACCACTTCAGGTAACGCAACAACTGCGGGGTCGCTATTCGCTTATGGAGTATTGTGTTGCGCAAGACTCAAGTTGCGCCATGTGAAGTTCCGACGGCGTGCGAGACATTGAAGGTGGCCGAGTGTGATTCGTGATTCGATGAGTGTGGGATGAAGGTGTGAGCAAAACATTTTTTGGGAGGGTTTTGTGACCGCGCTGCTAGTTTGCTACGCCGACGTGATTTCGCGTTCATGTCATGAACGTCAAAACACTGCCGATGAATTGACCTGAAGCGACAACCACCATTGCCTCAGTGGTAAAGTCGACGCATCGACTAGTCGACTAGTCACTTCAATCGCTAACACACACATACACGCGTTTTGATTGACAGCCCACCTGACACAATGCCCACCCTGCCGCCCCCCCGCCACACACACACACACACAAAGTGACTGTTGCTCCGATATAGTTAAGTGGCACAGTGCGTCGTGAAAGATTATCCTGTCAATTAATCAAACGACCCAAATAGTCATAAAGGTTTTTTTTTTTTAAATGAGAAATAATCACAGTTGAGTTTTATGACTGTCGACAATGATGAAGGTTTTCTCCAGGAAATTATAAATGCAGTTTGGTTGCCGCGGCAACAGTCGGGGCCTGGCTGTGAAAGACGCAAGGCAAGTACCTGTGCGGATGCTGCCGTTGTACTCGACCGGGCTGTCCGTTAATGTGCCCGCCAGCCGCCATCTGACGCCAATAATTGCTTGTAAATACTTGCACATGGTCGTGGGAGAGTGACACGAGTCCGTTAAAAACATTCTCAAAGCAAAATCTTCTCACTCCGCCATTGTTTCTTTCATCCGCATGATTTGTCCTGTTAATTTCTTCATGCGACAACACGCACGGTTGATTGGATACGTGTGTGCGTATAATCCAGCACTCCAGCTTTGTGCTCAATCCAGATCGTGACACGGCGGTCCACGTGGATGTAGAAGATTTAAGCGAGGAGGGGGGGAAAAAAAACCCAGCTTTGCTGGGTTTCTTGATTGGGATGCTGTGCCAGTGCAGAGCAGGCGAGGCCCGCCTTGCCTTTGATTGCAGGGGCTAAAATCCCCGACACTCATTATCACAGGATCAAATCTGGGCTAACAAGACTGAGCCAGAGGCCTTTTTATATGGGGGCAGGCATGTATTCATACATTCTAATTAGGAATGGACATTTCATGAAATTTCTTTCATCAACTATCAGGATGATTACCGTATTTTCCCACACGATAAGGCGCACCCGAAAGCATTCCATTTTCTCAAAAGCCGACAGTGCGCCTTATGATCCGATGCGCCCTATATATGGATCAATATTTGATTTTCTTGGACGTGGTATTTGAAATGTTCTGTCAAGCGCTTTGTTCCGGCAGCGTTCTTCCCAAAGTCAATCGTCGTCTAATGTGCTCTCGGGGTTCCACAGGGAACTACGGCGAGAGCGGCATGGAGGCCTTCAAGGAGCTGGCCTCCCAGGAGGGCTTGTGCATCGCCCACTCGGACAAGATCTACAGCAACGCTGGCGAGAAGCAGTTTGACCGCCTCCTGAGAAAGCTGCGCGAGCGCTTGCCCAAAGCGCGCGTGGTGGTGTGCTTCTGCGAGGGCATGACCGTACGCGGCCTCCTCATGGCCATGCGGCGCTTGGGCGTGTATGACGAGTTCCTTCTGGTCGGCAGGTGCGTAAAAAGCATTCAGCGTCGATGGCTAATGGGTAACGCCTTGTTCCTGGTGCGCGCGTCGCCACGGCAACAAACAAGGAACTGTGTGGAAATAGCATTGGAAAAGCAAGTGGTGTTCCACAAGGCTCGATGCTTGGTCCATTTTATGTCAATGTCAAAATGAGTGGGTAGTTTGGGAAGAAAACTTACTGTTTTCATTTGATTGGTCTGTATTCTTTCCCTCGAAGTGTTTTTCGATACAGTTTTACGGCAGTTGTGACTTAATTCGACTGGGTTAATGAACAGAACTCCATCGTATTCTTTCCCTCGAAGTGTTTTTCGATACAGTTTTATGGCAGTTGTGACTTAATTCGAGTGGGTTAGTGAACAGAACTCCATCGCAAACCGAGGATCCCCGGAGACAGATGTCGGCAGTATTCCACAAGGCTTTGTGCACATATTTTTACAATATCATCTACATTATGACAAATGCCTGGCAAAAAAACCCATCCGAAGAAAACTCGTGGCATTCCGCAGGGCTTCTAGGTCTACTAGGTCCACCAATTTTACAATAACAGCAGTTTGACTTGACATATGGTAATATCCATTTGTAAAATCTACACACCCCCGCCCAAATAGACACCTCCCCCATCTACAGTTGAGTCTGAATATTTTGGGGAACTATTGTATGTGAACTTTTAGATGCTGTATTTTTGGTGCAAATATTGCAAAGGTTGTGACATCCCATATCTTCCCTTCATCCAGAAGAACATCTTTTCTAGAACATATCCCAAAGGAGTAGGATAAAAAAAGGGGGATGATGAGTGCTGCTATTCTGTCTCTCCGTTTATATGTTGTACCACTTATATTTAATTCATCCCCGCATGTTTAAGTTGCCTGCCTGGGGAAGGCACTCATTCTTTTCCAATGCGGCTTTTAAATTATCCATAGTGACGACACTCTCGGGGTATGAGTTCCTTTTCCTGGATTCATCTTTTTTCTTCTGCGTCCATCGGCGATGGGCTGGGAGTTACTGGGCCATGGGGGGGCGGTGAGGGTTGGGTGGGAAGTAGGTCTGTAGTTTAGCTTTTTGCGGATGGTCTCCATGGATGGGCGACACGCTTGCTTCTGGGTCAGAGAAAAAGAGAGAATAACAGAGGAGCACTGAGCCACTTCACATGATAAGCTGTGTGTGTGTGTGTGTGTGTGTGTGTGTGTGTGTGTGTGTGTGTGTGTGTGTGTGTGTGTGTGTGTGTGTGTGTGCATGTCATGAACAAATGAGTGGAGCAGTACGTTTTGTTTTGAACGTCACTGATTCCATCGCTCCAGTTAAGGCGGAAGCCGTATGGATTAAGAAGGAAGAAGTGGCCCTGGAGAAACACCGACTCTGACAGGCACCAGTGTACTGTAATCTTTGTTCAGAAAGAGAGGCATGCGCAAGTGTTTCAGGGGCACTACAAGCCCCTGTAGCCCCCCCTCCAGAACAGCTACTGGTCAGGTATTTTAAAAAAGACGGAAAATGTATTGTTTTTTTTTTTTTTTTTTTTTAGAGGTTGAAGAAAGTTAAAAGCACATACAGGGTGCGGGGCTGAGCTGACGTTTTTGCCCTAATGAGCTCTCTTCTGGTTTTACAGTTTCCCTTCTGCTCGTAAACAAAATGGAAGCCATACCCGCCGAGTTTGGCTGTTGGCTGGTGTGATCATATCTCAGGAGCTTGTTGTGACAAAGCAGTTACGACCCTAGTAGATGAGGGAAAAAAAGTGGCCTTGTCCTGTTTTTTCTTTTCTTTTTTTTCCCTATTGTCGGTGGGAGACATTCAAATTTTGGCTGAGCATTCGGAAAAAAAAAAAAAAAGATGGAGGCTGCCGAATAAGCTGCGTGAAAAACGTTTTTGGAGAGCTTTTGTTTTCGCCGCCGGGCGCCAGGCTGCTCTTCAGACGAGAGAGCCAGGTGTGCCAGGTGCTCGACCCACACGCATTCACCGGGCGACCCGCAGACAGCTCTCAGCACCATGCTTTGCATCCACTCTGCTCCGGAGTGTCTCTTGTCTTTTCCCTCTGTGGGATGTCACTCAACAGTTTGGCTCTGTGATCGAGCGTCTTGTGTTTCTGTGATTTGGACAAATAGACAGTTTAGTCGGCAGCATGGCGAACTAGCGCGAAGCAGTTGTTCCTCATAGGTTTAAATCCCAACTCCTGCCTTACTGTGTGGAGTTTGAATGTTTTTATTTTTTATTTTTTTTGCTTCATTGACATAAAAAATAAATATTTATAGATAAACTGGTGATTTCAATAAAAAAAAAAAAATTATTGTTTGATGTAAAGTGATATCAGGAACGGATTAATTGAATCTACATTATTTCCAATGGGAAATATTTATTTGGTTTTTGGTCTATACGGTTTTCATCAGAGTTTTTGGAGGGAATTAATCACGAAAATGGGTTCGACTATATAGCAGAGGTTCACTTAAGAACACAAAGAATAACCTGGCACCTGTTTTATGTTGAAGGACGTGCTTGCTTGCAGCAGATGTGAGAAATTATGCTGAATGAATACCCGGTTTGGCTCATTACAATTATAATAGTAGCTATTTTCCACGGCATATTCAAAGCTTTCGGGCCAATGAATTTCTGTAGGCAGGGTGATGAGATGCTTTCAATATCCCGACACTCTAATTGGCAGAGGACGCGTGGCCATTGACCTTTGTTACGTAACCTGACAACAACACCAGGCTGGCAAAAAAAAAGAACTTTTTACAACAACCACTCACATCCAGCTGATGTTTTTTTTTCCTGTTCTTTTTGCTTTTTCAGCTTTCTTGCAGCTTTTTTCCTTTTTTTTTTTTTTTTTTTTACTGTTCCTGTTTTTCCCTAACCGCACGGTTAACACCAACGATCCCACGTAGTGTGCCGCTTTCTAATGTGCGATGAGTCCTTCCTCCCCGCGTACTATTCTTAAATATTCATTTGCCACCTACTCAATTATCTCCGCACGTTGGCAAAGCCGTATGCGAGCTTCTTCTCTCCCCGCTCGGCCTCGGTCGTCGACGTACATCCGAACGAATCGATCGGCATCAGCCGATCTTTTGCGATCATCCCTCTGGCTCGCGCATCTTGAGCGGCGGCATGATGTCGAAACCCCGCCGCCGCTCTCCCTTCTAATGCCCTCTCCGAGGCGCTTATTACTAAACATCATTTGCATAAGCTGCTTTTCCACATGGAACACTAATTTCAACACACGCGAGATCTCCTTCCCAACCATTCTTCGCCCGCCCCTGACAAAGGAATGTTCTCGTTGTACCTTTTTGTGGAGTGCTGACGTGACACACAGATTGGAAGTGGCGTGTCATTACCTTGCCGCTATGAAAACTGCCAACACGGATTGTGTGCTTGTCAGGGCCCAGCCCGGGTTTTTGCTTTGAGCTTGAACACATGAAATATTCCAAAGTGAGAGAGCGAGAGAGAGAGAAAGAGAGAGAGAGCGCGAGAGTGCTAGCATGACACATTTAGCTGTTTCGTTCCCCACCATCTCCCAGGCTTTCATCTCCTCACCATCTCAGGGAGAAGCAAGCGGAGGATGTGGAATGGTGCCGAGTGGTTTGGCGATTGGAGATTTTTTTATGTCGTGCACTAAGAGCGAAATGAAAAGCCTTTTAGAAAACAAATTCAAATCAATTGGAGTCTTAGGGGCCTGTTTTGGTGCCCAGCACAAAACTCGCGTAAAGCGCTGTCTAACGCCGCGCGTGGATGGAGTTTTCTTTCTTTTGAGAGGGCGTTTGCGCCGTTGTGGGAGGGAACGCAGCTGACTTATTTGCCGTGTAAATGTGGGAAACTGGCGCAGTACATTCAAAAGGAACTGCAAGAAGGTTTCCACTTGCGAAGGATGTCAAGTTGGGAGACTGCCTTCTACCCCCCCCATCATGCATCCTTGTGTGACAACCGCTACCCCCCACCCGCCCCCACCACTCACAGCCAGGG